AGCATTTACTACACAGAGCCGTTGTTCACTGACGAGCTGCGCAAAAAATCGCGCGAATATGAACGTGGTTTTGCGCAACTCGTCAGTGAACAACGGCTCTGTGTAGTTAATGCTGCTCAATGTGAAAGCCCGCAGGTGATGGAGATTTACCTCTGATTACAGAACCGGCTTTACTGATAAGATGCGCGTTAAATATCGCATGCGATTTATCGTGCAGCCCTAGTGATAAGCTATTCTCAGTGGATCATTTTTTCAGGAAACAACCTTTTGTGCCCTTACTGTTATCTCCACTGGCCTCCAGCTATGCGCACACCTGTCATTCTCTCTCCTCCATCACCGTGATAGATGGATGTTCCAAATTCATTCCACTCTGCATTGAGCAGTATCCCTTCATATACAGTAGGGGTGGGCTAAGAAGGAGGAACCTGGGAGTGCACTACTCCCTGTGCGCATGTGAGAAGACCCAGCAGGATTATCTCTCACCCTTTTATAAGACCTAGATTCAGCTAAACTGACATCACACACACACACTTATTGTGTTGGGAATCCGACATTTTTCCTATCGCCTATGGTGCTATTTATCTATTTGTTATTTGTTATGTGTCTGTGCCACAGTCAAAGATCATTCTAGTTGTTCCATGTAAACTGAAACTAGAATATTTTGAAATATTATTATATAAGGCATTTTATTTTCATGTATACCGTAATAAGTGGAGAATATTGCAAGAACACAAAGTGATTACTAAAATAACCCATTAAGTTCTATGTGGAAAAATAAAAAATTAAATAAAGAAATATTAAAAAAAAAAAAAAAACTTCAATATAAGAAAACAATAATAATTGTAGCATATAAAAAATTATATTAAAAATAAATATTTATTATACACTATCTGGCTTAAGGGCTTAAAATATATTTAATAAAAACTTCACTAGCAACTGTCTATTGTTCTATTGTTATTGTTGTTTCTGCAGTGCATTCAGCTTATACCATTCAAGATATAGACTCTATGGACAAAATTTGAATGTTGTGAAATCTAAATTACACCACATTTACATTCAAATAATAATTTAAGGTGCTGTGAGTGACAAATGAGGCCACTGTTCAGCCAATCAGAAGACTTTGAGGTGCTTTCTATCTGTCAATCATTTTGCTATATCTTTCAGGGGTGTTTTGAGGGGTGTTTTGTGTTTTGCTTAACTTGAAACTACACTGAACCCAAAGAACAAAGTGGGGGGGAGAAAAAAAAAACAACAACAAAAAACACTTAGATTATTTGAATTCAGTCAGATTTACTAAACAGAATGTACGGTTAATGTGCTCTGTGTGTGTAATTTGCATTAAGCCCGACAGATGTCTTTTTTCAAACAATGGATGAGTAGTTCACTTCAGTATGTTATATTTCTGCATCATTATTTAGTCTTGTGCAAACTTCATATAGCTAAAACTGTAAATTCTAATCCTTGTTACAAGTATGGTAGAACCATCACTTCTACCACAAAAGACTGCTTTGTAAGTAATCTTCCTGATTTATCCCAATTCCCTAGCATTTCCAAAACCTCAGAACAACTTGATGATGTAACAGAAACTATGGACTCTCTCTTTTCTAGCATTTTAAATACAGTTGCTCCTTTACGCTTAAGGAAGATTAAGGAAAACAGTCTGACACCGTGGTATAATGAGCACACTAAAGAGAGCAGCCCGGAAAATGGAGCGCAGCTGGAGGAAAACAAAACTAGAGGACTGAAAAATTTGTGTTTATAATTTTCTTTTTGCATTATTGACACACTATTTTCCTAATTAATGCTGTTCAGTTGCTTTGACACAATCTGTATTGTTAAAAGCGCTATATAAATAAAGGTGACTTGACTTGACTTGACTTGCATTAAGGCCTATATTGCAAAAGATTGTGTTGACAAATAGGTTTAAAGCACATTTTATGCTGTATTCCGCACTTGTAGCTATGCTTCTGCTACACAACACCTACAGTACACT